TCGAGTGGGGACGCGCACATGAGGGCGCTGTACACTCTGCGTCGGAGTATGGAAGCGAAGCTGACAAAGCGGTATACGGCGACAATAGAGCTGGAATGTGCAGAGGCATCAGTAGGTTCAGGGACCCTCCGTCCACCGTCATCGTCAAGTCATCGTGCAGGGTTGGGTGCTCGTGCTCCGAAGCAGCATTCCAAACCCCCGAGGAAGGATCTCCTTCAAACATTTGAGGAGATCAACGCGCAGGAGCAGATTTTGAGGCTGAAGACTCTTCAGGTGCAAGGCAAGTGGTTGGAGTGGACATCGGTGATGTGGCAGGACCTTTCGGGGGAAATCCCTTTTGTACGGTGGTACTGGTAAGGATTTGAAATTTCTTCTCGCGTCAACCCTCGACATGCTACCTTCTCCGACGAACCTACGCCGTTGGGGAAACACCGTAGTGGATCCGTACTGTAGTTTGTGCCGTACCTGGGCCTGTACTACGCGCCACGTGCTTGGTGCTTGTCGCGTAGCGCTGGACCAGGGACGTTACACCTGGAGGCACGACTACGTACTCGGGGTCATCGTCAGGAACATGCGTGAGGAGATTCGAATCCGCGCTGCTGCAAACACCGTACAAACCGAAAATTTAAATGAGCTTGACTTCATCTCATTTTGCAAGGCGGGAGAGAAGCCAGTTCGCGTTCAGCCCAGACGAAAGTTGGTTACGACTGATCTCCTGTCAGTGGCCTCAGACTGGAAACTTCTTGTCGACTCAGTTAGTGCAAAGATTTCTTTCCCTAGCTGTGTTGCACTTACCACCCTAAGACCAGATATAGTTCTGTACTCTACGAGTCGTAGGATTGTGTTCTGGATGGAGTTGACAGTTTGTGCTGAGGACAGATTCAGTGTCAGTAACTCGCGGAAGGACAGGCGGTATGCGGATCTGGCCGATCAATGCCGAGCAAACGGGTGGCAGGTCGTTTCTTTTTCGGTTGAGGTAGGTGTGCGTGGTTTCATCCCGGACTCTCTTCGGAGGGCTCTGAAAGCGCTTGGGTTTTCTAATCGAAGAATAAAATTTATTTGTAATTTGTGCAGCTTGACGTCTCTGCAAAGCAGCTACATCATCTGGTTGCGACGTCAACAAAAACACTGGTCGGAAGATCCACTTTTCTGAGGTACTGTATGTGGGGCTCTGTTTAATTTTGACTGAGTATGTCTGTTGTTGTTTTGCTTTCTGATGTGTTCTTGTGCTACACAGCATGGTGACACAGCATTGGACATAGCAAAGCAAAGTGGTCATGATGAATGTGTGCAGCTTCTCACACAGCATGAAGCTGACAAGGTATGTGTTTATTTTGTAGTTCATGAGTGAGTAAATATGTATGTAGTGCGTAGAGTGTGTAATGGTGGAGTATGGCTGAATCACTGACTGGCATGGAACTAGAGCTGCCAACCAACTGGGTCTGTTTTGAGTACTCTGGCTTCACATGTTCGGTATTTTGCAGTGTGTTGCGGTGCTAGCATAGTACTGACATATGCATTGTCAGTTTGGTCACACACACGCACGTCTGTCCCTGAATTTGTAGTGCAAAATAGATGTGACTTGTACCCAGATCAGCATTTGTTGTGATATCTGATGTTGTAACATGGCAAGCACTTGCTTTGCAAGGATATTCATCACTCAACTTGCGCGTGCCATGCTTCTACGTGTATTTGCACTCAGCTGATAGATCCGTTTCAATTTTGCGTACCATTTTGCTCTAATTCCGCAGTACGGACAAAGGAGTGATTTCGGTAAAAGAAAACATGGAAAAAGGGAAGTTTGGCAGCACCGTGAATCCCTGATCTGTGTGGTATTGTCACGTGATCAACCCTTTACAATAGTGTGCTTACCTGTATATTAGAGAGATTGAGATTCACACCACACACATAGCGTGGACTTGCGTAAGGGAAGGGGGGAGGGGGGGGGGGGTGAAATCCTGGACAGCACTTCATGTACACTAGCATCCCAAGTCTGCCCTATTGGCCATGCCACTGAAGGGCACCTATTGTAACTGTGATCAAAAAGAACATGGCAGCTCACAGGGCTGGCAAATAGGTGACGTGACCTGGCCTGACGACTGGCCCCGCCGCTCGGCAAGGGCAAGGAAACCAGACACATCACACATACCAGTATTTGTGCATGTTGTAATCACACCACTGTTTTGTGAACTGTAGAGACAGCAGTGTAGGTTGTCTATCTTGTAAACTAACTGAACTGACTATGTTCTTCTTCTCTGACCAGGAAAAGAAGAAGAAATATTTGAAGCACTCCGGAACTCCAACTGGTAAGTGATAGCCTGACGAGTTTATTGTAATTACCTTTCAATTCCAGCATTGAACACACATTATCTTTAGGTGATGTTTTGACCGGTGTTGTCTTCATTGTCGTCGTCCGCATCGTTGTCATCACTGTCGTCATTGTTGTTGCTTGTCAGCCCTGTGTGTAAGATTGATTGTACAGCCTTGTCTGGTTTTTCTTTCTCTTGACAGTGCTGAATTTAACTGAATGATATTATGTTTCCCTCTCTTCTCATTTATCTCTGTAATCAGTTGCCGTGGTAACTCAAGAAGTGGAAGCGGAGAAAGACGAGCAGCGCTAATTTCCACTGCCACATCACCTGATCCTTTCAACGCGTCACCTGTCCATATTTCCTGTGTGTGCGTGTGTGTGTGAGCGTGCGCATGTGTGTGTGTGTGTGTGTGTGTGTATGTTGTTGGTATATTGCTACACGATGTCTGCTGAATGGGTTGCATAATGTTCTATTCACCATACTAATACTTGAAACTAAATTTCATGAATTATTTACATTGCTATTCTCGTCTGTTGTAAAAACTGAAATCAAGTGGCTGCTTGGTATTCTATGCCTGTCTTCAATGTGACATAAGCCAACCCAACATTTTCTTCTGCAAGACAGTTTCCGCTTGCACTGAAATCCTTTATGTACGGCACCGGTATCTATAACCAAATTTGGAATGGTCTGATTTGCCTGAACATGCGTACCGTTTTCTACTTCTAATTTCTTCTTCCAATTTCTACCTGTAACATTATTCTCCCTGGTTCTGCTTTCCTTCTATTTTGTTTGTATAAATAATATATTATATTGAGACACCCACGGTCAACTGGGTACTCACAGCTCGGAGTGAGGGTAACAAGGATGCAGTTTACAGGGTTATGGGCCGTTACACGCCCGATTGGTTGAGAGACTCACCTACTCTCCCCTGACTCACTTGTGAGGTCTGCCTGAGTTCTTTTTTTCCATGTTTATAATTTATAGGTGGTTAGACCCTTCTGTCCACAAGTTGTTATCATAGGTCATTGGACCCTTCTGTCCACACAAAGAAATAGGTTCGTTTTCTCTTCTTTGTGTGCGCCTGTACATGTACATGTAAGTGTGTGCTATTGGGCAACGTGTGGATGTAGCGCAATGCTGTAGGAATGTTCATGGTTGTAAGTGGTGTGGGTACAAATACATTCTCTTACCAGAAGCAAGAGTGTGCTTATATCCCGATATATGCATATGCGCTTAGCAGTGAGGGTATACTTATGTCCAGATATACCGGTAGACACATTCTGTTATGCACGTCACTATGGTGTACAGTTTATCACTTTGGTCTTTTTTCTTGGCATCACGGTGGTCATTTCTTTGTTCTCCATCACTTGGAAGCTTGAATATAGTCACTATTTTCCACATGCCAAGCTCAGTTCAATGTTGGTATGTGTACTGGCTATTTCACTACCTTCACAACACAGAACGAATGTGAAGTATGTCTGGCTCCAAGTCATTCTTTACAGGACAAAATACTACACAGCTATCAATAATACCGTCAACGCAAAAGGGTACCCATTTCACACATTGCTCCAAAATTATCGATAGCTTTGTAGAAATGTGGTGGCATTTGTGTGTGAGCTCAGTTACCACTGCGCTATGCCGGCACGCCACGCGCACATAATATGAACGTATTGGATAGGTGTCACCAAGAGTACAGAACCCCAGTAACGTGGATTCATGATCTTCAATGACATCAAAACAGGTGCTTTGATGGAGTGCTATCGAAACTAGCCCAGTTGTACACTCTTGTTGGATATGTACTCTTGGTGTCACATAAGGGAACGACCCAACAAGCTCAGACACCCATCAAGTCATAACCATGAAAGCGGCAATCTGCCTTTACTCCGGCACAATGATGACCTTGAACTGTAGTAGCAATGGAAAAGAATCTGTGTACTGATGCGTGAAGCAATAGCAGGCTGCTCATAAGCCAAATATCAAACCAATACATACCAACACATGTACCGCAATACCATACATATGCACGCACACAACAAGAACAAAATGAAAGCTGACATCTTCGGGGAAAGTTGTTTTCAGCATTACAATGCAGGTAGAGTAAAAAAAAATTAGTCTAGAATCATCACGAGCTCTGTATAAATTTGCCTTAGGTCAGAGGCCAGTTACCAGCATAGTCACACCTACATGAATGCAGTAAAGGGTGTCACACAAAAAAAAATCAGCGGAAGACAGTGCGACAAAAACAGAAAGAAAGCACAACCATACCAGCAATCTGCGTTCAGTCCGGCACGGACAAACGCGCGAACTGTATAAACGATGAAAACACACAAGTAATAGATGCATGATACAAGGTGCTGCACTGGGTCACTTACCAATATCCAATATTGGCTGAATATTCAACAGGTGAAATAAACTAAGATAATTAGCAGCCATGTAACCCCAGTCCGGAATGGGTAATAAAATTTACTGAAGGAACGATGAAAAAAAAGAAGAAAAAAAAGAATGATAGATACACGGTACACGGTGCTGCACTGGGTTTTCACGTACCAATAATGAGTTAACACTACATACTTTTTTTTTTAACTGTTGAGCATGACCAACAGCGAATGCACACCCACACACAGAGTGCATGCACATGTGCACACGGGCACACACACATACTTACATACATACACACATACACACAAAGAAAATGAAATCTGACATGCTGAAAAACAGTCAGTTATCCACCGGAGGCGAAGCACCTGTTACAGAAATGTCCAGTCTCATCGTCATCATTTTGACACATATGGTGGTAGCGGCGATGGCAACCTTTACATACCCTGAGGACTCGCTGATCTCCCACGCCACAGGAGAAACACACATTTTCGACATTGGTAGCACTAGCACTGACACTATGTGAGATGCTGGCATCAGGTTCCGGTGGTTTCTCTTCACTCGTCTTGCGTTCTTGAACTACTGTTGTGGAGGGCGACACAGCCGTTTGCGTGAGCATCACTTCTTGGACATCTGCAGATCCATGGCGGTCAGTGTCATCCACCGATGGCTGAGCTGTTCCGTCGGTGCTAGACGATGATGTTGGAACACAACTGGGCGCAGGTGGTGGAGTTACGCTGCTGGTGAGTTGGTCCTGCTCCTGAACCGGCGGCGGAACTAGCGGCTCCATGAAAAGTGTGAGGAAAGCGCACGCAGTGATGATAGGCTCGGCCAGAGACATGAGAGACGACGGAATGAAGTGCGTGATTGTGTAGTTCTTGATGCGCTCGATGGCACGTTCGACATGGATGCGCAACGTCGCAATCCGTCTTGTAGCAACGACTTCCTCAGGTTCAAGTTGATCCCGTGTTCCCAAGAACGGGGGAATATTCAGCTCGACACCATCAGGAAGTAGGGACGCAATGTCAAATCCCCGGTCAGCCATTATGGCATCCCCTTTCTCCAGCTTATCAAGAATGCCACTGCGCTTGGTAATCTCCTTGTCGGAAATACGGCCACCCCATAGAGATGATAGAAATGAAATGGAGCCATTTGGGGTCACGCCGACGAGCAGTTTGAGAGTATTCTTGTTCTTATAGTTGGACCAAGTCGTAGCCTGAACCTTGGGGTTAGCGGGCTTGTCAATGGGAAATTCCGTTGCGTCGATAACAACCCTTGTACGGGGGAACTTCTTCCGGAACTCAGAGGGCATGAACCGATCAACCAGCTCCGTACATGGCCAAATGTCCAACTCCTGGAAAGTGAAGTACATGCACTTCAGAACTGCGGCAAAGATACGAGATACTGATGACTGCGTTATTCCAAAGCGATTGCCAAGGTCGGACTCTGGAAAATTGTGTCGCAGCTTGATAACAGTGAGGAGAAGCTCGTTCTACATGGACAGTGTGCGTGGCCGACCGCGCTGATCTTTGCCAAGGAAATCCTCATCCACATCCCACTTATAGCTCATCCCAGCCATGTTATCCATCATCAGGTTGAGTAACGCATCGTAGCCAGCCACTGTCAAACCAGTGTAAAACAAGAGTTTAGCAGGATCCTGCCGCACTGTGCCGTAACTCAACTGGCATTTCTCCAGTAGCGTCTTCGTCTGCGCCAGATCATACGTGCAGTTGTCTAGTTTGCAGGTAAGGCGTTTAACTTCTTTCTCCAGATCTTCCACACGTTTGTCCATCAGCACTTTCCCATAGTCGTGCTCAACTGTCATATCAGCACTTTGAACATCACTCTCACAATCCTCAGTCTCAGGCTCTAAAACTTCCTGACTGACAGGCGCCACCAATCCAAGAGCTGTCCTAGTTTGCCTTTCCTTCACGACAGCACGGGAAACGAATACAGTTGGAGCTTCGTCAGCACTGGAGCGACGTCCTCCAGCGAAATGGACGGCACAGACATAGGAGTTGGCTGAAAGAGGTACATTGGTTCTTGGGATTTTTGCCAGCCACTGACGGCGACATTCTCTTCGTTTGTCAGTGTCAGGAGGGAGGCGATGAAACGACAAGTTTTTGCAAGCTGGATCACTTCCGCCGCAACCTATCCTATCCGCAGTCGATCCACAAAGCCTCTGCTTCTGGTATACTACTTTTCCATCATCAGGGTTGGAAGGAAACAGTCCGAACTTACAAGTATTCTTCCTGTTGGAGCAACCAGGAACAATGCAATGGCAATGCCCAGGCATTTTATTTTTTTTTAACTTTTTTTAGAAGAAAACGGCGAACGGCGACAAGACGAGACTGCTTGAGACAACTTCCACCAGTGGGAAGGACATAACTATTATCTAGCCTAGGCTGCTCAACACTACAAGTACAGCCAGACAACAGCAAGGGACGAGAAACAAAATCTGCAACAGCACTACTGACTACTCTCTACCTCTAGCTCTAGCTCTCTGCACCTGCATTGCACTGGCCTGCAGCAGATGCAGAAGATGCCCCGCAGCAAAAATCCGCGCGAAAATTATGCATACGTGCCATTAGCCTTTTCAACGAAAAATGACCACAAAAACCACTAGTATAAGTAGTGTTTGGCAAACAAAACAAAGCTTTGTGTTTTCTGATTTTATACGGCTAGTGACAGGCGGTGCTCGGTCACAATCTGCTCGGATTAGTGGAGTTTCACGCTAGACCCTAGAGCCATGGATCCAGAGATAGATAGATAGAGAGAGAGTCTATGCCACAAAACGATGGATATCATATTATTTTTGTAAACAGTGATATGGACATGAATAATGTACAATTTTTTTTAAATGTTTTACACGATGTACCAGCGGATTTCTCGATTACAATTCGATTTTTGTCATCATGTAAACTAATGGTTGGAAGCTAGAAGATTTTCGGCAGTAGTAACAATCAAAACACAAGCAGCACAAGAGAACTGGAAATGGTCAACATTGCCAAGCTGAATATTAAAGTGCATGGCTCAGCGAAATGCACCTGATGGGATTTAATATGTCTAGGAATGAAATTGAACGAGAGGGAGAGAGAGAGAGAGAGAGAGAGAGAGAGAGAGAGAGAGAGAGAGAGAGAGAGCAGGGGAACACAGAGAGAGATAGAGATGTAGAGGGATTGAGAACAATAATTATGAAAATGAGGGACAGGTCTGATAAGATTTCATGCCGGGTGCAAAAATATGTTTACTATTGAAAAAGCAGATCAGCAGTTGGCTTGATTGACCTTTATGTATTATGTATTTATATCATTATCTCATGGCACATCATGATGACGGCCAATAAAACTGAGACAAGGGTGAAAGCCAACCACAGCAGTAAAACAGATAAAAGAATACAAATAAGAGGCAAAGAAGGCAAAGGAGGAGACAAACCAGCAGGATATACATGAAACCTATAATTGAGCAGAGATTTTAGCAACAAAATTATCCATCGACGTGCTGGTCTTGGCCTGCGTTGGTAATGTTGCCCAAAACACCTTCAAAAACGTTAAAATACTGGTTGATACTAACAGGTTTAGCAACACTAAATACAAGTACAAATTACTTAGTTGACAAAATCCGTCGTGAGGGATCAGAAATAGAAAAAAACATACCTTCTCTCTTCAAAGGGAGGAGTAAATGGGTGAGTGACGTGATGTCAAATTGTTGAGAGCGGTAGTGTATCATTGTAAAATCAAAGGGCGTTAACGCCCATGCATGCACGCATGCAAACGTAGATAGAAACACGCTCAATAACACACCCCACAATAAATACACATGCACCTTTACCTCACTCTATATGCCATGGAAATTATGCAAGTGCCTGCTATTTGGATAAGGTGCAACGGCAGCAGCTTTTGACGCAACAGTTGCCCACACAGACTGTCTTGAATATGAAGAGAAATTGGTAAAATACTGTCAACTCTGTGTACAGTAAGATCGGGCGCCGAAGAACACCTCGCCGAAGAACACCCAGGCTGGAAAACCGGCAAAATTTAAGAACAGTTCAGGCTAGAATTATCAGATTTAAGAACACTTTTAAAATTTACAAAATTGTACATGTATGGGAGGTGAGTACATGTCATGTACACGTGTAAACAGTAACTGCTACATGTACAGTCATTCCCATTTACGACACCCACTAGTTTAGAAGTACTACATAGTCATTGCACTACATGTACATGTACATGACAAACGTCATGACGTCACTCGACTCGCCGCGCGCGTGTGAATAAGAACGGTCTGGCTAGAATCAAAAATTTAAGAACTTTCCTAGGCTGTGCTCGAGCCCCTGCGTTCTTCGGCGCCCGATCTTACTGTACCCATTTAAACACTGTCTTCACCATACCACAAGTCTGTACATCATTAGCAACCAGTCACTTTACTGGTCAGATGTCTTCTTTCTCTTCAGTTCCTCTCCTGACATCTCAGTCTCTGCATCCTTAGGTACAGATGGCCGGGGAATCGGCTTTGGAGGAGCTGATGGTCTCTGGCGTGCTGATTTCTCAGGATTTGAAGTGCTAGTCGCTGTGTTGACGTCATTGCCATGGCATTTGGGTATCGACTTAGGTGAGGACTGTGGCGTGTTATTACGCGAGGGCTTCCTTGGAGCGGGAGTTGGCCTAGTCTTGGCATTTTGCTGGATTGCTGGATTAGCACTGGAGCTGCAAGCTGCTCTGACTGTAGTCGGACTTGTCGAGCTAACTCCTGCTGCTCTTGCACTGGCCAGTACTTCATAGCAGATGATGGCTTCCTGAACGGAAGACGGACGGCGATCTGATGACAATTTCATACTATCAGCTCTGTTTTCATGAGTAAAGTCCATAGCGTCTGTGCTGCTTATCACATTCTCGCAGGTTTCTTCCAGGTTGGAAAATGTACTCGTTTGTCGGGCCTGCGACAAGGCTGAATATGTAGAGTTGTCATCGCTGGACAACTGGCCATTGAGCTGTGTGAACTCAGTGGCCTGTTGTTGGGTGTGCTGTTGCTGCTGCGACTGCTGCGGTTGTCGCATGTGATGCTGATGTGGATGATGTATGTGTGAGTATGCTGACGGAGCTGCACCTCCACTCAGCCAGGACATAGACGCAAAAGACTCTATGCCGCTTGTGTGCGCGTAGATTCCGGAGTCATCATCCATGTCTTTCTGCTGTCGTTGCTCCTGGCGTTGCAACTGCTGTTGCTGCTGCTGTTGGTGGTCTTGTAGTTGCTGCTGCTGCTGTTGCTGCTGCTGCTGTTGCTGTTGTTGCTGCTGTTGCTGCTGCTGTTGTTGCTGTTGCTGCTGCTGTTGGTGGTCTTGTAGTTGCTGTTGCTGCTGTTGCTGCTGCTGCTGTTGCTGCTGTTCTTCATACAGTTGTATGTACTGGACACTGTTCACTTCCAGCACACTGTCACCAGGAATCTGCGCAGGTTGGTTTCCAGGCTGCCATGAAGATGGCGTTATCATGTCATGATAAAATCGCAACTCAGAGTTGGACTTTGCGGTTTGAGCGGCTGGCAAGTTAGTTGTTTCAGCCGACGACGGCTCTGCATACGACGTGGAGCTGCCAGGCATGTTGGACATTGCACTTTGTGACGTTCTTGGTGAGGGCAACTGGGAATAGATTTTCTTGCTTGCTGCTCTGCTATCGGCTAACTCCTCATACGAGAGTTGTTCATCCGTAGCATTGCCAGCGGCAATGGATGGTGGTGTGTTCTGAAATTCATTATTTGGCGGGCTGCCTCCCTCAGAAAACCCTGTATAGGTGTCTTCTTCCTCATGGGTTGCTGTGGACTTGGCAAGGGCGATCGCCATTGTTTGAGTCCGTTGACCAGCAATACACGATCGAACCGGGCTACTTTCCGAGCGGAACCTGGCACTGGGGAGGGTACTATAATTGAGTTCTGGAAGATCATCGGTCTCTTCTCTCCGTGACGACACAACAGTTTGCATGTGAGCTCTGGACTGACTCTCTTGCTCTGCTGGTCTATGCCAGGGATGACTTTCTGCTCGTCTTGTAGTGGGCACGAAGTGCAATATTGGAGAGTGATTCTCGGTGCTCTTGTTCTCTAATGTACCTGCTCTCTCTTCTGGTTGCTCCCCAACTGGTGGAGCGGAAGGCCGCCGGAAGATACGCTTCACTCTCTGGCGAGATGTCCAGGAACGAGTGCGTTGGCCAATGTTATCACGTGTCGTAGGTTTCTCGTTACCATGTATGATTTGAACGTTTGCCATGGACTGCGGATGAGTGGTTGTGGTGACCTTCGGCAGCATGGACTCTCTGCATGTGTCTTGGGTCACTGAGTGGTTGGTCTTTGTACCTACATCAGCCAGTTTCTCTTCATTCACGCTTGGCTTTGCACCCCCCTCTTCCGGGCTGGATTCAAGGGAAACATTTTGTCTAAAGAACAGACGTAGCGATGAAGCATGACGATTGGTTGTGTTCTTTTTCCCGTAAGGTACCGCTGGGTGTTTCTTGCTGAAGGCACGTGTTCCGCCAGGAACAGCTGGATTAGTCTTGCTGTCCACAGGCTGCTGTCTGCTTGGCTTGGAGCACTGTGTTTCAGGCAAGGTCTTTGGCGGGCATGATGGCATGTGTTTTTCACTGCTACCAACTGCTCTGTTCTGCAGTGGGTTTCCCCCGGCAGCGGGTTGATCAAAGTTGCACATGGTATCATCCACAAGAATGTTGCTTGAATCACTCATAATCATGGTGGCGTCGTCCATAGCAACCAGGCTTGAAACTGTTAACTGTGTGGACAATGGCACGTGTGAACGCTGTTGCCTAATCCTCCTCACTACTGTACTCCACAAACCACCATTACCGTCGCTCACACAAACCAGTGCACCAAGCGACCAGGTAGGAGAAACAAAGTTAAGTTAAGATATTTACAAGAAGATTACAACAAGAAAAAGAACCAAGAACCACGATCGCCAAATCGCTGTCATCAGCAAAACGTGCCCGGGTGCGTGCATTGGCTTACGTGTACATCACTGTCATCAGTGCGTGCATTGGCTTACGTGTCATCAGTGCGTGCATGCATGAAGTCTTTGAAGATCAGAAAAGCAGAATGATCACAACTCATGCATGATGCATCGATGAGTCATATCAACGGACAACGACTACGTAACCATGGATATAATAATGGCGACAGCAAAGTTAGTTCCGCGTCCAAAAGCGCAGGTGCAACAAGGAAAAGTCAGAGTGCAGAACAAACAGAAATTCAAATCGAAAGGAGATAAATATTGCAAAGATGAAGCGAATCGGTTTGGTCTGTCAGAGGGTGCTTGCGCCCAGCGACAGGGTGACAGCAAACCCTGTCAGAGAGAGAGTCAGTGTGCAGAATAGGAATACATAGAACGCAGCACGCAATGGAGTTGCTGTGGAGAGCGAGAATGCAAGCAACAACGTAAGTACTATCTATGCAACTAATTATATCGGCGTATTGTTATTGATATTACTATCCGACAAACACGCACAACACACAACAAACACTGTATCGTAACAACGCACTCGTAAATGATGTTATCACAACGACACTCGTAAATGATGTTATCACAACGACACTCATTCTATTTCACCTCTCCCCCTGATAACATCGCGAACAGCAAGGTCAAATTAGTCACGATAACGAACGGGGAGCTGAATGTCAGCACGAGGACGAAGAACTCTCGCAGGCACAGGCTCAACAGGAGCAGCAACAACAGGCTGCACAACACCATCATCAACAGCAGACAACTCAACAGAAAGAGACAATGCAGCGTCATCATCATCAACACGATCAGTAGGCTGAGACTTGATCAGCTCGATGTTGACAAGCTTGTTCGAAGTACGGGCATCGTCATTGTCGCGCACAATCACAACAGTTGACTCAGAGACAACTTTGGACACCACCCAGCCAGGTTCATACGGTGACGTGCGTTTCTGGCGGCGACTAGGGCGCAGCAACAAGACAGAATCACCAACACTGTACGGACAGGGAGCAACAGGAGCACTAGCAGCAGACTCAGGGAGTGACGCCTCGGTAGCAGACAACTCCTCCTCCAAATAATCACGCACAGCAGCAGACTTCACACACAAACTCTCGACCCACGCACTCAGAGACACATCAGGCTGCGGACAATCGACAACAAGGCCACGGGGAATCCAACCACACATAGCCTCACACGGGGACAAACCAGTAACAGCGTGAGGACGCACACGATAATAGTATAACAGGACGCTCAACGCAGAAGCCCAATCATCCGACTCAGTAATTGTTTTACGAATCAATGTTAACAATGTGCGGTGAAACCGCTCAACACCACCCTGACTCTGCGGGTGCCGCACCGCACCACGGCGCACTTCCACTCCAAATGCATTGTACAGTGCCACAGTAACATGATTCACAAATTCAGTGCCATTGTCCGACCTCACGACATCAGGGGCTCCCCAGCGGGAACACACATCGACAAAAGCAGAAGCCACAGACGCACCATCATGGCGAGCCAAAGGAACAACTTCCACCCACCTCGTAAACATGTCCGTGCACACCAGGACACAATGGTAGCGTTGACTCCTGTTGGGACCAAGTTCCAGGGTGTCCAGCTGCAGAACACTCCAGGGTCCAGAAGGACTAACCGGACGGGTCGGCGTGGCAACAGGACCACGCTTGGAACTAGCGGCAGCACACGCAGAACAAGACTGGACAACAGACTGGCACAAAGCAGCCATGTTAGGGAAATAACACCCAGAACGAAGCAGCTTCCAAGTGGTCTCCCAATTGGCATGACCACAAATCGCATGCGCACGAGACAAAACTCGACGCTGCAGGGACTGGGGAACAACAGGCACAACCTGCTCATCATTGGGGGGCACCTTAACACGGCGATACAAACCGCCGTCGGAAACAAGAAGTTGAGTCCGTAATTTCTTAAAAGCAGGATCAACAATGTCGGAACCAGAAGATACAGCAGCAATAATACTGGAAATCTGTTCATCAGAATGTTGAGCAGACAACACGTCTTGCAAGAGAACAGCACTTACAACCTGCCTTGACGGCGCTGAGACGGCGGCAGAGGCAGCAGCAGGAGAGGCGCTCGGCTGAAGCTTCCTCCAGCAGCGTACAAACGTGTCAGGCACACGCGTCAACTTGTCGGCCTTGTTCTCTGCAGAAGGCACCCAACGAAGGTGCACTTGCATGCCGGTCTCTGCGACGATGTCCTCCACTGCTTGCAGGCGCCGCTCTACGACAACGTCGAAGAGGCTGTTCGTCTTCACCCGGTGAATGTTCCCAAGGCGCGCCGACAGCCAGCCGTACACAGTCTTGGAGTCGGTCACCACCGTCGCTGTCTTCACACGGTAGTCAGTTGCGAGGGTGAGGCCCCTCAGGACGGCATTCAGTTCGGCGACATTGATGTGGCGGCGATCTGAAGCAGGGCGAAGCCAGGAACGGTCTTCAACTACCGCCCCATCGCACTCTAGCAGCGCCCCATAGGCGACGTCGGACGCATCGCACCACACAGTACAGTCGCGTGCTTCCACATTCACTGCCCACTTGCCGGTCGCTGGGTCAGCCTTGTCCAGCATAGCCTGGAGCTCGGCACAGCAATGGACCACAGCGTCACACACTGGCTTGTCCCACGCATTATTAACGCTGGCAAGGCGCTTCAGGTAGCCACAGGCTGGACGTAGCCAGGAACAGACGGGATAGTGGCTGGTTAATCGCCCGCACCAGCTGAATACTTCCCGTCGGGTAATCTCATCAGCCACCTCGAGCTGCACACCATCACGTCTGCGCCAATGTAACTCATTATCCGCTCCGGTAAACAGCTGGAGACCCAGCACTCGAGCAGAACTGACATCCTCCGCAGGCTTCGTGGGCAGGCCGTACGCAGCGAGGCGGGCAGACACAGCACTAGACAGAGGCTTGGGGACAATCACGTCATCCACATAATTGTCGACTTCTGGCATGTCGCGGGTCACATACTTGACAATGATGTCCATGACCTTGGGGGCCACAGACAAGCCGAAACCCATGCGGGTCATTACGTAGGTCTTGTCTTGCCAGACGACGACTTGATAACGCAGCAAATCATCCCGAACATGCACTTGCAAATATGCCTTCCTGATGTCTAACAGCTCGTGCTCGTCTTCACGGCTACGCCATGACCGCAGGGATTCCGCACACACAGGAGAGTCATTGCCTGGGTGCGACACAAGTTGCCGGTTCAGGTGGCGGTAGTCCAACACGGGCCGAACAGGAGTTGAAAGCTTGTGCTCTTGCTCAACCGCCATCAGGGGCAGAACACAGGCTGGCTTTCCATGCACCTCCGGGTTACGCTCAATGAGCCAACCATTGGCAACCCACTCATCGACCGCTGCAGTAAACTTTTCCTCCTGCTGTGGCGAGAGGTGCTTCCGGCCGTACTCAGTAATGCCGCTGCCAATTGTAGACACAGGAGCAGTGTCCTCTTTCCAACGCCATGACATCACCCAGCACTGCTTACTAGGTACCCAGCGAGCTTCACCGTCGTCGACACTGAGCACAACGTCATCACCATCCTGTGACACAGAAACATGACGCGACAGCTTGGACGCGGTGTCAGCAAGAGCAGCATCAGTTGAAGTGACCGGACCAGCGGCTGCAGCAGCAGCAGGCAGTTGCTCGCCGAAAACTACGCGACTCATACTGCCGTCGTCGTCATATGACACGCTGACGCCACCGCACCGTGCAACAAGGTCGTTGCCTAGCAACACATCAGCAGCCACCACCGATAAATTCGGGACGACAAGTACATTGACACATGTGCGGGGTATGCGCACCGGCCCATCATTGCGGTGGAACTGCAGCTGCGCCGAGCCTAGTACATCAAGGGGCTTACCGTCCAACGCGAGGATGGTTGACTCGCTGTCGGCACGAGACAACTGCACATCAGGCAAGTGCGCGAGCAGAGCACGAGAAATAAGCGTGCGGGTGGAACCAGTATCCACGATAGCAGTTGCTCGATAGCAACTTCCGCCCGGAGACAAGACATCTGTGTATATGCGTGGTAGTCCGCCACGGGCATGATTCTGCAGGCAGAGCACCTTGTCTGCGCCGCCCACAGATGCTGCTGACACGCCGTTCGCCGACTGCGCCTCCAGCCACTTCTTCCGCTGGAAGCAGTCTTTTTTTACGTGCCCGGTCCTATCGCAGAACACACACTGCATTGTCCCTCGGCTAGCAGTCCGCTTCGGGCAGTTCCGGCGGATGTGCCCGGGCTCATTACAAAAGTAGCACAGTGTCTTGGCCTTGGGAGCTTGTCCACTAGCGCTGGTGCCACCACTGCTGCTGCTACCTCGGGGCGCAGCACTGCCACTGGCTGCCGCTGCCATCCCCGTATCAGGCCTGGACGAATCCACAACGGCTAGGGCACGGACCTTGCTCACAATGTCCGGTACCGCAAACTTGACGCCAGCGCACGAGAGGCGAATCTGGCGCTCCAAGTGGACAGGTAGCCCCGCCAGCAGCTGTTCAATGATGACGGCGTTGTCATCACCATCGCCGGAGTGGCCGGCCGCAGACAGCAGGCGGCGCAAGTCCGCAACATACGCCTCAGGCGTCTCATCCAGCCGGTACCGCCGGCTACTGAATTGGCGATAAGCATCTCCTGGTGACACTCCAAATGTCTTTTTCATGACATCCACCACCTTGGCTTTGTCTTTCTTGTCATCTGTCGGCATCTTGGAGTACACTAACAGAGCATCTGACTCCAAGAACAGGGGCAGCCTTTTCATCAGCTTTTCCTCGGTGTCCCAACCAGAACATTCGCCGATCACCTGGAACTTGACCCAGAACATGTCCCAGTCGTCGTGCTTACCCTTGAAGGGCTTCACAAATCCGTCAACCTTCAACGACATTACTACCCACGAAGGTAACACAGCCCTACAGGCTACAAACACTTACAGAACGAGAAAACTGAAAAACGAAGAAACAGCCCTGAACGGCTCAACCTCAAGCTAGGGTTTCGGGACCAAAAGTTGTTGCCTAATCCTCCTCACTACTGTACTCCACAAACCACCATTACCGTCGCTCACACAAACCAGTGCACCAAGCGACCAGGTAGGAGAAACAAAGTTAAGTTAAGATATTTACAAGAAGATTACAACAAGAAAAAGAACCAAGAACCACGATCGCCAAATCGCTGTCATCAGCAAAACGTGCCCGGGTGCGTGCATTGGCTTACGTGTACATCACTGTCATCAGTGCGTGCATTGGCTTACGTGTCATCAGTGCGTGCATGCATGAAGTCTTTGAAGATCAGAAAAGCAGAATGATCACAACTCATGCATGATGCATCGATGAGTCATATCAACGGACAACGACTACGTAACCATGGATATAATAATGGCGACAGCAAAGTTAGTTCCGCGTCCAAAAGCGCAGGTGCAACAAGGAAAAGTCAGAGTGCAGAACAAACAGAAATTCAAATCGAAAGGAGATAAATATTGCAAAGATGAAGCGAATCGGTTTGGTCTGTCAGAGGGTGCTTGCGCCCAGCGACAGGGTGACAGCAAACCCTGTCAGAGAGAGAGTCAGTGTGCAGAATAGGAATACATAGAACGCAGCACGCAATGGAGTTGCTGTGGAGAGCGAGAATGCAAGCAACAACGTAAGTACTATCTATGCAACTAATTATATCGGCGTATTGTTATTGATATTACTATCCGACAAACACGCACAACACACAACAAACACTGTATCGTAACAACGCACTCGTAAATGATGTTATCACAACGACACTCGTAAATGATGTTATCACAACGACACTCATTCTATTTCAACGCTGGTGTCCTACCACACTACCTCCGCCAACACCAACACTAGTCAACGGAGCCTCTGTCACAGAGTCATCCTCCAGGCCTTCAGCACTTTCAGAGAACATCTCCAGGCACAATGCTACCGTATTTGTTGCACCCTTCTGAGATGGCTTTGCAACAGAACCCGTGACGGCTGTTGCTGACTTGTCAACTAGCTCAGAAGCCTGGCCCTGACCAACGGGTGAAAGTGATCCCATGAAGCGGAAATACCGTGCCATTGAGCTGTTCTGTTTCACCCTCGCACCCAGCTCTGTGCGAGATTGTTTAGAGGCATCTGGTGCTGTGTTTGAGTTGGACGAAGCCAAGAACATGTCTTGGCTAGTGCATGCAATTAGACTGGAATGGCTGTGTGCTCGTGACATGCGACCAACCGGTGTCGTTGATCCACTACTTGGTGGACACTGCACTGGGTTCTGGACAAGGGCGTCACTGACATTGGTTGTGTAACAGTTTTCCCCTGTTCTCTATAACTTTACACTCCCTCGCACCTCATGCGTCTTACGCCTGTCTATTAGCACCTTCATTGGCGCCATTGCCACATGTATACTATCACATTTTGCATATAACTGGTCGAGGCACGCTCAACCAGGTCTCTTACTTTTCAAGTTTGATTAAACCTGTTACACTGGTAGCAGAGGATGGTTACTACTCTGCTTTTGGCAGGTGTTCTGGTCGCTCTGCTTACGCTCCTCGTACTCGTCGTTCGGCTGATAAACGATATCAAGACCGCTCAGCGCGTTAGCCAAGGAAACCGAACGATACATCCGAACTCGGAACCGTGGGAGCCAACACCCCGCCTTACGAAAGAGCCGCCTGTGTTTGGAGGAGATTCCGCTACATTCAAAGAATGGACGTTTGCAATGGACATGGCCCTACGGTCGTTGGCACTCCCAAATGCGGCACAGAGGGTCGACTACGCGGCAGGATTTTTGACTGGAAACGCTCGTCTTTGGTTGATAGCGGCATTGGAAGCTAACCAAGTGTTTTCCGACTGGCCTGCTCTGAAAGCGGCACTTGGCGATGTGTACGGACCACGGCACAACGAGGAAACATCGCGTATGGGACTAATTTCCGCAGCGCAGCGCGGGTCGCTGGACGCATACATTGCTGCTTTCACTCGCCTCAGCCTGCAAGTGCCGGAAATCGACCACCACACCAGAGCGCTGCTGTTCGTCAGGGGTCTAGTGCCGCACATCCAGCGACAGGTCATGCGTGAGCATCCACGTACCCTGGAGCAAGCTGTCATGGCAGCAAACACCGTGGAGCAGTCGTCAGGGCCACCGGCGTCGGGGCCACCAGCCAGTAGAGAGTCGCGTTCCGTGCCCAGCTTCCGTGGTCAGGGCCTCCGCAAGCTGACGGACCAAGAGCGTGTCCAACTGCGAGCAATGGGACACTGCTTTGCTTGCAGGAAGCCAGGCCACCTCGCTAAAGACTGTACTGAGGGTGGACAGCGCTACCCAAACGCTGGTCGCCAGTAAGAAAGGGGGTGCGCTTACTGGCGACGACCCAAGCGCCCACGCCGGTACCAGTCGCTAACCGGTTCGGAGCTCTGGAGGTTGAAGACGTTGCTCTCCAGGAACCTACGGAGCCGGAGACACCCATAGCTGTAGGAAATTGTCCCGTTGCAGAAAGGTGTCATGTCAGCAACGTCAGCGTCGGCAATGAACCTGAACACGACCTACTGCGCATACAGGGAAAGATCGGCGGTCGCCGTGCAGTGATGCTGATAGATTCCGGTTCGACGCATGACTTCATTGCAGACAGTTTTGTTCGAAAGCATCATCTTGACACGGATGCAAGCTCAGCAGTGCTGAGCGTAACATTGGCGGACGGCTCGACCAGCGAGGTCCCGCAGATTTCCACACGCACGCTAAGGGTGACAGTCGGGGGCTTCAGTGAGGAACAGCACTTTACTGTGTATCCCCTGACTCGCTACGACGCTATTCTTGGCAAGCCGTGGCTTACAAGGAACAACCCCAGCATCAACTTCCGTACGAACGAAGTTCAGTTGGACGGTGAGCCCTTTGTTGCCAAATTGCCTTCAGCTAACCCGCCGACAGCCGACCGGCCATCTGTGGAAAGCATGTTTATCAGTGGCCGACAAGCTCGTCATGCCCTGAGGAGTGGAGCCGAGGGGTTTCTTGCATGGGTCACTGCTGCAAACGAGGAGAATCGTTCCGGGCCACAACTCCAGGAATCAGAGCAACAAGACATCCAGAACCTGCTCAAGAGGTACCAGGATTTATTTCCAGACGAGCTGCCGAATGAGCTTCCACCGAAGAGACCAGTCGACCATGAAATCCAGATAGAAGATGGAGCCAGACCACCGTCTCGACCCGCCTACCGCCTGCCGAAACCAGAGATGGACGAGCTCCAGTCACAGCTATCAGAATTACTTGAGAAGGGATTCATTGAGCCAAGTAAGTCGCCATACGGTGCACCTGTGTTTTTTGTGAAAAAGTCGGATGGTACTCTGAGAATGGTGTGCGATTGGCGAGAATTGAATAGAATTACGATCAAAAACAAAGCTTGTCTTCCTAATATTGATGACTTATTCGACACGATCCAGGGCAGTGCATATTTCTCCAAGTTGGACTTGCGGTCAGGCTACAATCAAATCAGAATTCAAGACTCGGATGTTTCTAAGACGGCCATTAATACGCCGTTCGGCCACTTCCAATTTAGAGTCATGGGATTCGGGCTGACTAATGCCCCGGCCACCTTTCAGTCTCTCATGAACTCTATTCTGCAACCGCATCTCCGAAAATTCGTTGTAGTATTCTTGGATGACATTCTAGTTTTCAGCAAGACCTGGGAAGATCATCAGCATCATCTTCAAACAGTTCTAGAAACACTTAGAAATAGTGAGCTGTATTGCAAACAGTCTAAATGCGAATTCGGCGTGAGAGAAGTTCTCTTCTTGGGGCATAAAATCAACGGCACATCAATTTCCCCTGATCCCAAGAAGATAAGTGCTGTGGAAACATGGCCAACTCCGTCGTCAGTAACTGATGTGAGGAAGTTTCTTGGCTTTGCAAACTATTTCCGAAGGTTCATAGATCGACACTCGACCATCTCTCGTCCATTAGAAGAAATCACCGGAAAAAATTCACGCTTTGAATGGAGCGCTGCTAGACAGAAGGCATTCGAGTCTCTAAAATCAGCATTACTCGAGGCGCCAGTGTTGCAACTGGCCGATGTTGAGAAAAGCTTCATGGTAGAAACTGACGCAAGTGACTTTGCAGTGGCGGGTGTGCTCCTGCAGCAGGGAGAAGATATGGATTTGCATCCCGTAGCCTATTGTAGTCGGAAACTGTCAGCTGCAGAACGCAACTATACTGCGGCCGAGAGGGAAACGTTGGCTGTGGTATTTGCATTAAAGTGCTGGAGAATCTATCTATTCCGCCACTTTGACCTGATGACTGATAATATGGGTGTTGTCTATTTACGAACCAAACCGACTCTCACCAAGCGTGAGGCAAGATGGGTAGAGTTTTTAGCTGACTATGACTTTACGGTCTTTCACAAACCAGGAAAGAAAAACATTGCCGACCCGCTTTCACGCCGTCCAGATCTGTTCAGTGATTCTGAAATAGGCGGGTCATCCTATCCTCCTAACATTCAGTTGAATGCCATAGAGCATACCCTAGAGATTAATCCAGACTTAGCGCAGTTAATTGTCAGCGGTTACAAGTGCGACAAGGATCTTGCTCCCATTATCAGGAGACTGAAAAATTCAAGCCATGACAATCTGCACGACCGTTACCTTCTAAATGAAACACCCGGTTATCTTTATCTCAGATCTTCACCACAGAACAGGTTATGCATTCCAAAGAGTAGCAAACTCCGACTCGCCCTGCTTCAAGAATACCATGACTGTGTGACTGCGGGGCATCCCGGTCGAGATCGCACCTATTTCAGACTCTCTAGATATTTCTATTGGCCCAGAATGGGACTGGATGTAAAGGCGTTTGTCAAGTCATGTGACGTCTGCCAACGAGTTAAAGGCGGCCAGCTAAAAACTGGTCTCTTGCAGAATT